TGCCGAGGTGAAACAAGGAGCGCGAGCATGCAAAACGGCAAAAAACGATGCCAAAAAGGGGCAAAACGGCAAAAGACGATATCAACGACATCAAAAAAGGGCAAAATTGCAAAAAATGATGCCAAAAAGGGGCAAAACACGATGCCAAAAAGGGGCAAGATGGCAAAAGATGACGCCAAAATGCAACGCTGCGCCAGCGCGTGCAGGAGCGCGACGCTGCCAATTGCTCCCCCCTTCCTCACCCCCACCCCGTCCGCCCCCCCAAAAAGAGCTGTCCGTTGGCAAAGAAACCCCCCCAAAACGGGTGGTGGAGGAGGGCGGGTGCTCACCTCGTGGTTTGAGAGCTCCCAGTACGGGCGCTCGCCGTAGGACATCACCTCCCACATGACCCGTAGCTCCAGCCGTCGCTGGCCGAGGTGAACTTGCGGTAGGAGATGGCTTCAGGGGCCGTCCAGCGGATGGGGATCTTCCCGCCCTGTGACAACGTTGGGGTCAACTCTGCACTCCCCCACCATGGCCAACCACCCCACCTTGGTGGCACTTACGCTGGTGGTGTAGGTGGCTTCGGGGTCATCTTCCAACACCCTGGAGAGCCCAAAATCGGACACCTTGCACACCAAGTTGCTGTTCACCAAGATGTTCCGGGCAGCCAGATCCCGGTGGACGTAATTCATGTTGGCCAAGTACTTCATGCCGGCGGCAATGCCCCTCAACATCCCCACCAGCTGGATGACGCCAAACTCCCCCTCTTTTTCCTGGGAAAAGGGGAGAATCCAACCTCAGATCCATCCCTCGGCCCACCTCCCGTGGTGGGTTTTGATGGTTCCACCACCCCAGTAATCCTGGACGGGGGCTGGAACGTTGCCACCGCGCTTCGCCTACCCGCAGGAATTTATCCAGCGCACCGTTCTCCATGTACTCCGTGATGATCATGAAGGGCTTGTCTGTACCAAAAAAATAAAGGACACAAAATGGATCAAAAAACCCCAACACCTCTCCCCCCAAAAAAACCCCAAACCCTCCCAAACCCAACACCCCAACCCAACAACCCCCCTAAACCCCCAACCCAATCGTTGCTCAAAACACCCTATTTTTATATAGCATTTTTGGGGGTGTTTTGCAGTGAAATTGTTTTTTTTTTTGGTAGGGAGGGGGGGTACTCACACTTGGAGACGACCCCTTCCAGGCGGATGATGTTGTGGTGGCAGAACTGGCCAATGATGGTAGCTTCACTCAAGAAGTCCACCCGTTGCTTCTCTGTGTAGCCCACCTTCAAGGTCTTAATGGCCACCGGCACCTCCTTCTTCCCACGCTTCAGGGTGCCCTTGTAGACCTCCCCAAATTCACCTGCTCGGAGGAAGGGGGGGAGGTTTAATCCCCACCCTGGTCCAATTTTGGGGTGTCTTTGGGGTGATGAAGCCACCTACCGGCACCGATGACCTTCTGGCGGGTGATAAAGGATGGAGGGATCTCAGTGGTGAACTTGAGCATGGCTTGGTTGGGGTCTTCGTAGGTGTGTGGGTCAACGTAGGTCTTGAGGGGCTTCAGCTGATCTGTGGGGTGGTGGTGGGGGGGATGTCAGCACCCATAGCCCCCATGTCCCCCCCCCACCCACCCGCGTTGACCCCACCATCACATTGCTCACCTGACTTCGAGAAGTAGACATCCTCGACAGACTGGCGTGGCCGTGACCTCCTCCGCCTGTAGAAAAGCAGCGTTTTGACCAAAAAAAATTACCCCTTCCCCATCTTTAGTGGTGGAAAAATGGTATTTTGGGGTATTCTGGAGGGTTTGGGTTTTTTTGAAATCTCCTTACCGCCGGAGGACATAGAGGAGAGCGGCCAAGAGGAGGAGGACGAAGAGGACACCAGCAATGGAGCCACTGATGACAGCGGAGGATGCCATGGCCTCAGCGCCTGCAGTGACGATTCAGGAGGGTTTTGGGGTGAACCATGCACCCCCTGGATCCCCCACCCCAACATCCTACCCCCGCCTTGGTCCTCACCCTCGGGCAGGGTCTCGAACTCGTGCTGGGGGCTGTAGGCGCCCTGGCCGTCCGAGGTGAGCGCCTGGACCCGCACCACATAGGTGGTGGCAGGGGACAGTTTGGGGATGGTGACGGAGGTGCCCTCGCAGCGCAGCACCGAGTAGCTGTTCTCATCCACCTGGGGACATGGGTGGAGGTGACACAGATGGAAGGGGGACAGGGACGGGGGCAAGGATGGAGGTGACACAGATGAAGGGGGGACATAGATGGGGGCAAGGATGGAGGTGACACGGATGGAAGGGTGACACGGATGGAAGGGTGACGTGGGTTGGGGCAAGGATGGAGGTGACACGGATGGAAGGGTGACATGGATGGGGGCAAGGATGGAGGTGACGTGGATGGAGGCAAGCATGGAGGTGACATGGATGGAAGGGTGACGTGGATGAAGGTGACAGGGATGGGGGCAAGGATGGAGGTGATGTGGATGGAAGGGTGACGTGGATGAAGGTGACACGGATGGGGGCAAGGATGGAAAGGGTGACGTGGATGGGGGCAAAGATGAAGGTGACATGGAGGGGGGACATGGATGGAAAGGGAGACGTGGATGGAAAGGGAGACGTGGATGGAAAGGGGGACACAAGGATGGAGGTGATGGACTTAGGGGTGGTGGGCTGAAGCCACCACACAGGACGGACCTTCTTGCTGTAGGTGACCTCGTACTTCCAGACCCGACTCTGCTGCCGCGGTGGCACCGTCCAGGAGAGCACCAAGCTGGTGGCCGTCCGTCCATCCAGGCTCACCGACGTCACCCGGGGCGGCTCTGCCGTGGGGACAGGGACGTCACGGAAGCGTCCCCGTGGGGAGACACGGACCTCACGGAGGTGTCCCCATGGGAGACACAGACCTCACGGAGGTGCCCCCCGCGGGCGCAGGGAAGGTGTGGGAGATGCTGGTGGCCCCTCACCTGTCTGGTTGACGCTGATGGTGGCGGTGGCCAGGCTGCGGTGGTGGCTGTAGAGTGACACCCCATTCCGGGCTTCCACGGTGAAGGTGTAGTTGACGTGCGGCTCCAGGTCGGTGACGGTGACCCCCGTCCCCGTCAGCCCCCGGGGGGGCTGCGAATAGCGGACC